TATATATATATATATATATATATATATATATATATATATATATAAGTGAGGTGAACAGTATGATAACCATGCAATGTTTTGATGTATAATTCAAATGAATGAATTATAACCTTAAAACTGAACAGCTCTTGGCATGACACGGGAGCACCACGTTTTTTAGATAATGTGTTATAATTTGAATTTGACTCACAATTGAATTCAATCGTAGAAAATCGATTGCAATATATATTTATTCCCCAGACACTGAGAATACTGAGAACCTGGGCATCGGAGATGGTACCAAGTCCACTCATCGCAGCACGCTAACATCTCCGCTCTAGTCAGCCGAGCCTTATAAAAAATTTAATATCTCGAGAACTCCTGGTGATTACTGAACGCCAATTGTACCGGCAATACTTCGATAATTACTCTATAACATATACAGGGTATCCCATTTGAAAAAATGCGGCCAAATATCTTCTAAGGCGGGGAAGTAACAAAAAAATGTTCGATACAAAAATTGTAGGGTTTCGGGGGGCACATTCGATGCATTCATTATTTTGAGCTTTCAAGCTCATGCTCGCCAGCTGCACAAAGCGCTTTTTTAAAAATATTAATCGCATTTTTCACTCCAATGAAACTTGTTCATCTTGATGAGCTGTTTTCAGGTACCTCGTCATTCATGTAATTTCCTCTAATTTTACTCGAAAAATGCCACAAAAACGAGTTTTGTTGTCAAATTTGAAAATTCAAATATTCTTGGCGCACCTTAGTGTAATTATTCCGTTGATCTGTTTACCAATAGGATTTAAAGAGTGTAAACAATAAACAAAAAGTTTTCCTACTACTTCGAGGATTCTTTTATTCTAATCAGTGCCAGTTCAACCAGAATCGAGTTAGTATCAATTGTCATTTTATTAAACACATCACGATGTATTCAGCCAGTGAAATTGTCGATATTTTACTCGTTTTGGGAATATGTAGAGGAGTGTGTCGAGCCGCTGCTCGAACATATCGAGAGTGGTACCGCAATCGCCTACATTATCCTACAGGTTCAGTTATTCGAAAGATTGAAAGGAGTTTAAGAAGAGGGAGGGGGCGCAATTTTTTCTTTTTTTCAGCACAAGAGATGTGAAATAGACTGTACCTCCACGTGGTGCATCCTGGGTCACGCTAAAAAGTCTGAATCTTCAATTTGACCACAGAACTTGTTTTTGTGGCATTTTTCGAGTAAAATGAGAGGAAATTACATGAATGACGAGGTATCTGAAAACATCTCATCAAGATGAACAAGTTTCATTGGAGTAAAAAATGCGGTTCCCATTTCAGAAGAAAGCACTGTGCCTCCGGCTTGCAAGCATCGGCTTGAAAGCTCACAATAATAAATGCATCGAATGACCCCCTCGATACCCTACAATTTTTGTATTCAACATTTTATTGTTACTTGCCCGCCTTAGGAGATATTTGGCCGCATTTTTTCAAATGGATCACCCTGTATATTTTGTGGGAATTCGGTAAAGGATAGATGGGTATGTAATTTATAACACTCGGAATTGATACATATCGAAATAGATTTATTCACAGCAAACGTAACTAGGTTCACACCATGAGCGCTGGCACGAGAGTGTGCTCTCGCGATAACGGTATTAATTATCCGATCGAGGACATCCGAATTATTATGAATCGTTGCGAGGTGTTGTGGTAAGGTATTCGGTTACTAAGCCAAGCCCGAACACAATAGATTGAAATAATCTAAAATAAATATATAAGTAGCTTCGCTACAATACTCCCCTTCTGTGGCGAAAAAGAAAAGAATAACTATGTATAATATATACAAGAGTGTATGGGTTAAACGGCACTGAAAACAACTGAATTCAACTGTTGATTGAATCTGACGCTTTTTCTCGATGGTGATGGGGTTGAGTCCAACGATGAGCTTGCGTCAATCGATGGAGCCCAAGATGATGATGTGCGTCTGGATATTCCTGGTTGTGGTGATGTTGCAGGTGGCGCACCAGATGTCAACAACTATTTCGAAACAACTATCAGTTGTTTCGTCTTCAGCAATTGTAAATACTGGTTTTAAACCGTCAGTGGAGATGACCGTTGCTTGACCATTAATTCAGATGACAAAACGTTTTTCATGTCGTGATATGACACGATGTGGTTCCTTGTATGGTGGCGTGAATGCGTGATGTGCTGCATCTACATAAACGTACGAGAACGTGAGAACATGTGGCCAATTCTTTAAATATAAATACCTTTCGATTTCCATGCCGTGTACCGGGAAGAAAAATAATTTCTCAGTCTGTCCTCAATTGTTGCTGGCGGTATGCCAGGTTTTGGAGCGGGAGCGAGAAATTCTCCTGGTAGTCGAAGTGGTTCACCAAGAACGATATCAGCAGACGTGGCGTCAAGATCGTCTTTCGACGCTGCGCGAATACCAAAAGACACGGTGGGGAGAGTATCCACCCAATAAGGACTCTCGTGACACCGTATTGCTGCTTTAATTTAGCGATGAAGACGTTCCATCATTCCGTTGGATTGTGGGTGAAATGTTGTTGTGTGAATGTATCTGCTTCCTATACGACGAGTGAGAGCGTTGCACATTTGACTCTCGAACTGTACTCCTTGGTCTGTAGTGATGCTAAGTGGAACATCATAACGACAAATCCAGTTTACATAGAGTACACTAGTCACAGTTTCAGCGATAATGTCTTAAATTGGGAATGCTTCCGGAAAACGTGAAAATCTATCTATTATTGTCAGACAATACCGGTATCCTTCCGACGGCCCATATGGTCCAATGATGTCCACGTGAATGTGCTCGAAACGTCTTGTTCTTCCTCCGGGAAAGTCTTGAATCGGTGCGGTCACGTGACGCGATATGTTATTTTTCTGGTATGCGAGACACGCACGAGCCGAAAGACGGCAATCTTTCTTCAAACTCGGCCAGACGAAACGTTGAGAGACTAGTTTGATTGATGCATTAGCCTCTGGATGGCTGACGCTATGCAGAGCTTCAAAAATTCTCTTACTCTTACGGTGATGGCACATAGGGACGAATCAGCTAATCGTTAGCGTCACACTAAATTGGAGTTGGACTATCTGGCATGTGGATAGGTCGTAGGTGGAGGACGCCATTTGGATCTTGCAGACGTTATTGAAACCCGGCATCTGCTGCTTGCGCCTGTGCTAACTCTGCTATCGAGACTGCTGGTGATATGGCCTCGACACGCGATAAGGCATCGGCAACAAAGTTGCCTGCGTCATACTGAATATTAAATGAAAACTGGTAGGTAAAATCAAAGCGACGGAACTGGCATGGAGTTGCCTTGTCTGGATCGTACGAGCGTTAAGTCCACGAGAATCTCCACAGGGTCGCCAGTCGCCAGACTTTTTGGGGACTAGGTGTAGCGGGGAAGACCAGGAGCTCTTCGAACGACGAGCGATACCCAGCTTTATCATGTTTTGAAATTCCTGTTGCACGATAGCTGATTTGTCTGGGGCGAGACGACGAGCTTTACTCGATACTGCTGGTTCAGGTGTTGTTACAGTATGATAGACCATTGTATGTTTAGTCAGTCAGAACATTCCATCTGGTTTGGTTATTGACGGAAATTCGGCAAGAAGGTCGGTCCAAGACGACTCGGTCGACTGATAAACTTTAATTGTTGAAACGATATTGGATAATGACGCTATATTTGGCATCAATAACCGAGTCGTTGAATCTGACAGGCGATTATTCTTTAAATCCGGCAAAAGTCAAAAGTGCGCGAGAAAATCGGCACCAATGATGGGTTTTTCAACATCCGCAATAACGAAACGGCAAGGGAAACCTCTTCTGAGGCCGAAATTGAGTGAGGATAGGACAGCCGTATGTATGTATGCGTGTGCCCTTTGCTACATACAGCATGTACTCCGTTGCCTTTTTCTTACTTGGGACAAGCGTCTGTGGATATACGCAAAAATCCGCGCCGGTGTCTATTAGGTATTTGACTTTTGTAACAATTTCCGACACAAATAGGCGGTAAGAGCGGAAAACTGGATCGTTCACCGCCGCTAACGATCCGACGATGCGTTTCCCGATGACATCGAACATGGGGGCATGCATCGTTCGGCCGGGTCATTAAATTTGTAATGGTACCAGCATTTGTCCAATTTTTTGAATAGATGTTCTTGAACGAGACTTTGGACGTGAATGCGAATGAAAACGTTGATTTCTGACTGCACCCGCCAATTCTGAAATGCAAGCCTTGAGACGCGAAAATCTCTGTTCTAGAACGGCAACAGCTGGATCACCAGCTGCAGAAATGGCAGTGATAGTTGGTGGTGACGATATCTCCTGTAATTTATCTGCGAGCGCCGCCATTTTGTTCAAGGTAGAATTTGCTTGCGTCGCCAGGATCGATTGTGTGTTGCGCGGTAAGCGTGAAAGCCATTTTGTTATTAGAATGTTCTCTAGAACGATATCTACAAGGGATTTCAAATGTAAAAATTGTGAGGGCTTACAATCACCGAGGACCTCTTTGTCCAAGAGCTGGTGTAGGCTGGCCTCCTGAGAAGCGTTGAGTCTTTCCACGCTGGCATCCTTTAACATCTTGTATGGAGTCTGAGCTGGTGAATGCAGTATAACATCCTGGACCTCGGCTCCAACAACGGTATCAAGATGAACGGCAGCCATGTGGAATTTGTCCAATTCATCCACGATGCCGGCAAGGTGAAATTGCCCTTCGAGTTGAGCAAACCAGAGTTCGGGACGCTCAGTGGAAAATGATGCGGGACGAACTATAAGACATCCCAATGCCTGAGTTGTGTCAGCTTCCTCGCCCATTTTCACTAGATGTACTAACAATGTTTGGAACTGCACTAATTATGGCAAAAAATGTTCGTGATTATTTTCGCGGTGCAGCACAACGTCCTCGGTACTCATCGATACACCAAGATGCATAAAAACATTCACACGCGATAACAAAAGCACACGAAACGATAGGGACGCTACCGAGCACTATATCAAAACCCAACGCTTCTCGAACAATCCACGAAAAACCACGCGACCGAAAATCACTTTAATTTTAGCAGAAAACGGCACAACTTCAACAATTGCATTCATTAACACATTAATGTGGGAATTTTATTCGTCACGTTGAACCAATCACGTCGATGGCACTTGTGAGAATTCGGTAACGAATAGATGGGTTTGTAGCGTATAACACTCGGAATTGATATATTAGGTCATCCCTCTTCTGGTGTCACCTTTTATTTTCAGCTGGCATGCTATTGCGCCATCTGACGAAAAAAATAGTAACATGATTGTATTGCCCATTCAGTATATCAGTGTCGTATACTTTTCGTTTTAATTATATTGCAGTATTTACGATGGAGGAATTGAAAAAATCTCTGAGTGGAACAACGAATATTCCTGAAATTTTGTGAACGAACAATACAACGCTGGCTCAATGCCTATAAACGAGGTCGCACGTCCGCTGAAGATGAGATGCGGACCCCTCGACCAATATCATCAAATAGATTAGAAGGGAGAGATAGAATCGCAAAAGCTCTCCGTCAGTCACCTAGAGTGAGTGTCAACTATCTCCCCCCCCCCCCCCNCCCCCCCCAACTTGGTATTCCTCATTCGACTGTAGATAGAGTACTAACCGAAGATTTAGGTATGGTCAATAAAGTGGCAACATGGATACCTCACAGTTTAACTGACGATCAAAAAGACTTTCGATATGAAGCTGCGCGTAGCAACTTGGCGTGGTATCGTCGTAAAAAAATATTTTTTCTGGGCTCCTGTGTGTAGATGAGAGTTGGGTCGAATTTGATACCCCTCTTCCAAAACATCAATCGCGATCTTGGGTGGAACCAGGTACGTCAGCGCTAAGATTACAACGTGCAGAACTTCACGAATGGAAGATACTGCTGATAGTAGCAATGGATATAAGAGGGATCGCTTTTTGGACGACTTATGCAGAAAAAACAACTATGATATCTGAAGGTTATAAGGCGTTTTTGGAGGGCAATATTCCCAAATGGGCACAATATCATCACATAACAAGTCCCCTTATTTTGAATGATAACGCCAGACCACATAAAGCACGCATCGTTCAGCAGTTAATTGACAATGAAGGTTGGGGAGAACTTTTGCACACACTATATTCTCAAGATATGAATCCGTGCGATTTCAATTGTTTTGGTTACGTCAAGAGGGGATTGTCAGGTACTCTTTACAACAGCAAAGAGCAGTTAGATATTGAGTTGCATAGGATTATTCCCATTTTGAATGAAAATGGGACTCCACATGGTGTTCGCAAATTGCCAGTAGTCTGGGAGCGCGTCGTCAGTAATGGAGGAGATTACTGAATAATATTATGAAAGTATCATTGTATGTCGGTTATCACTTGTCAAGATATAGAAAATAAAAAGTGTGACACCAGAAGAGGGATGACCTAATACATCGAATTAGATTTATTCACAGCAAACGTAACTAGGTTTACACCATAAGAGCGAGAGCGAGACTGTGTTCTCGCGACAACGGTATTAATCATCCGATCGAGGATGTCTGAATTATTACGAATCGTCGCGAGGTGTTGTGGTAAGGTATTCGGTTGCTAAGCTACGCCCGAACACAATACATTGAAATAATCCGAAATAAATATATAAGTAGCTTCGCTACATTTTTTTAGATTTTTTCGCGACCTACCCTCATGATTTGTTGTTGACTTTTCAATTTGTTTATTGATTAATTCCTTATAAATTCAACTTTTTCGAATGTGGATTTTTTTCCCCGAAACTTACACATGTTTTGAATAAAAAAGTTTTTTTGCACTTCTTTCATAAAATTGATATTTATCGAGTTATAATTTTTTAAAAAATTACCTAATTGATCCAATCTAAAAATTTTGATTTCACCTAACTTTCAAAAAAAGCCGACCGTAATAGGTAGGTGAGTTAGGTATTGCTCCGGCGGACAACCAAGTGCAGTTGCGTTTAGTGCGGTTAGTACTTGGATGGGTGACGGCTTACGAACACTCTCGCCCAAAAATTTCGGAAGGTAGGCACGGTGCAGTGGCCTAATGTGCCCGTCTAGTCAGTGTGACCGAAGGGTACATTAGGACTCTGCACAAGTGGCCGGCTGTACGACTGGGGTTTCCCATGGTTTCCCGTGCAGTCCTAGCCCACATGGGGTACAGTTAACAGTAAGACGGCCCATGGTAATGCAAATAAAAATCAGAAAAGAGAAGTGGGAGAGGCAAGGCAGCCGAATGGTGAGCCTATAAAACCGTAATGGAAGTAGCACAGAAATATGAACAAAAAAAACATTCAAAAAAATTTTTTTTTTAAATAACATTCCAAGGCATTCTTGGAACCCTTCTATATTATATTCAATTTTCATCGAACTCGAAAAAAGTCGATTGAAATAGTATGGATGCTCCAATCGTAACAAATTTATGCATATTCCGGATTTCAGCAGAAATCGATTTCATGCAAAACAAATGAGGTTTCCAAAAGTTTACAGAATTTGAATTATTTATTTATAAACAACGAACGTGTTACCTTTGAAATTAACTGCTTTAAAAATCAGAATCATAAATTTTATTCCAAATTCAATTTTTCTGTTTCAGTCGAGCTCCACTCTTGGAATGTGCTGACTATTCCATTCGCCAACCCACCAAAGTCAAAGTCATCAACAAACTTATCGGACCACCGGTGGCAACTCCAGTTGCTAAGTCAAATTGTCAAATCGACAATTTGATCGCCTGTAAACCTAGGTGCTGCTAGCAGAGGCTGAGAAATTTTTATTCCGTCTCGCCTTCGCAACTTAGGAGTTCACACAAAAAGAGCGAACTTCTTAAGCTCTCCGCGTAATCGATACATTGGAATCGGTAAATTATCCACCTCGACGAATACGCATAACTTGAGTTGCCAGAATTTAGGACAATTGTGCAGACCATCATAGTTTTGAATTCTGGCGCCGTCGATTGGTGAACTGAAAAATTATTTGCAATGATCCGCTTAATTAGTGCGTCAAGGACATATTATTCAAAATTATTATCTCTCGAACTTAAATCTTTTAGAGTGAAATTTATAAAAATTGTGAAGTTATTAGATTTCGATCATTAGTGAATATTTAACTGTGTAAATATATGAAAACTCGAAACCTTCAGGAGAGGAACCTTTGGATTGAGCTGAAATGAGTCGACTAATCATCTCTACAACTAATCTGTTTTTTTTTTAAATTATGAAAGGGAATATGCGTCTTTCTCCCTCTTCATTATTATTCTCCCCTTTTTTTCATTATTATTATTCGAATTAAATTTATTGTACCTGATGCCGAAATCTATTGAAAATACAGCGGAAGTGCGTCAAAATAGATTACTCTTGTTTTCACCCATTCGTCCACCTTGATTTCTCGTAAAGGGGTTGTGTAATGTCCAAATTTTTTATGAAAATTGAAATTTAGAAATAAAAATATAGATCTAATGTAAAACAAAAAAAACAAATAATTGCGAAAGCATTTTCATCACCTGAGCTCAATAATTCCAAAAATAACGGAATTGAGAGCAAGTGATGAAAATGCTTCATCAACATGCCCCCGTTTCCCAATACAAAAATCCGCATATGACGGAGAGATTGGAAAACAAATAATCGAAAAGCCAAAGACCGAATGAACTACTTCCTCAATAAAAACCAAAAGAGTGGGAAAAGTCATACTGTAGCGCTCTGCTACATCTACACCCACACTCACACAGGTGCCTCGACTAGAGCAGAGTCAGTACGATTCGACTACGATGCTGATCAGTCGCACTATCAGTCACACTCTTTTCAACCACTTATAATTATATTGTATACCACGTTACACGCTTTGGCGAATAAATCTAATAGTACAATATTCGCTTGTGTACGGTTTTCCTTCTTCAAAACCTACGAAACTTACAATACGACATTTTCCACCAATTAAAAATTGACTCAAGTATTCATAATAGCTTTTAGCTTGACTCATTGTGTGTGAGGAAATCTCTGATTTACCCAAGGATCTACACATAAAACTATATAATTGTAAAAAGCAGATTTAACTGTGAGTAAAATAATTTGTGACATATGACCAAAATTAGATCCTTCTGATCATTCCAAAGGTAAAGAAATTCGAAATAATTCAGTTGTTAAATTTTTGTAATTTGAATACCTTTGTTTTTGTAAATTAATTGATTCAAAATTCGCAATTAAAATCAAATTCAACTCTAAATCTTTTGATATTCCTAAACTGAATCCTCTTCCTAAATAATAAAATTGCTTTCCGCCCGGGAAATTCTAGTTAAAACCCACTTGACAATTTTCTTTATTATTTAAAGATAAGAGTATAAACTTTGCGTAGTTCAATTAAATTCAAATCTTAATAATGTTAGCTTTCTTTTTAATAAACAATTAAAGGGATAGTCCTCCAACGCTAATAATTTCTCCGGAAATAACAGTAGATAAGCGCGAGTAAAGTGATATAGAAGTGTTCTTTTAAGCGCCCAGCGCTTTAAAGTTGAGTAAGGAACCAACGAAACAAAAATATTATTTTGTTGGCTCGGAAGGATTACACGGTTCGACAAAAAAACTCGTGATATATGCCCGCGGGATGAAATTGATTTCATCTCGTAGATTTTGACACGTAGATTTCGAATCTGGCCTTTATACTATCCCTCACACGTACATTTTCTGAAAAAATAAATATTGAAGTGGCGGAAATGGCCGAAAAGGCATTTTTTCAACATTGAATAATTCAGTGCTCAGTAAAAGTTAGAGGGCAGCAAAAATTGAGATGAAAATGAAAAATCTGATAAA